AAAGGAAAATTGAAGAATCTAAATTTAGAAAGAGAATAAGAAACACAGGAAGGGGAGATGGAGAGAGTAATAGATAGATTAATAGAAAAAGAGAGGAGGATTGAAGGAGGCGAAAGGGGAGACAGATAGATAGACTAATAGACAGACAGGCTGATAGAAAGACATATAGATAGACAGATAGATAGTTATGACAAATTAGTAGAGAAAGAGAGACGGAAGGAAGAGAAGGAAAAGGGAGGAAGATAGATAGATAGACAAATAGATAAACCGATAAACTGATAGACAGACTGATAGAAAAATAAATACATGATGAGTATAGATAGATACATCAACAGAGAATGGTAGAAGGAGAGAAGGAAGGAGAATAGATAAATAGATAGATATATAGATAGAAAGGTACATATGTAGATAGATAGACAGACAGATAGATAGACAGATAGACTGACTGATAGAAAGCTAGATAAATAGGTAGATAGATATATAGATAAATAGATAGACAGATAGATAGATAGATAGATAAATAGATAGATAGATAGATAGATAGACAGATAGATAGATAGATAAATAGATAGATAGATAGATAGATAGACAGATAGATAGATAGATAAATAGATAGATAGATAGATAGACAGATAGATAGATAGATACAGAGAAACAGAGAGAGAGAGAGATAGAGAGAGTAAGAGAGGGACAGACATAAAAAGAGTGAGAGAGAGCTAAAGAAAATCCTCCCACTGTAAGATACACTTGTCTCTCGCCTAATAACAGAGCTGTCAATCATAAATCTTAGATGATCGATTCCTTTCCATGAGTTGTGCGTCTCCCGATGGCCCCGCTCGCGTGAGAGAGGATGTCAGAACGGCGCGGCTCCATTGTGCTCCGAAGTGTGCTTATGGTGATGGGGGGACACAGGTGCCTCTATCACACACTCACACACACATACACGCGCACGCGCACTCATATACATACACACACACACACACACACACACACACACGCACACACACATACACGCACACACACACACACACACACACGCACACACACATACACACACACACACACATACACACACACACACACATACACACACATACATACACACACACACACACACACACACACACACACACACACACACACACACACACACACACACACACACACACATTCACACACACACGCACACACACACACGTACTCTTGTATATCTATTTGTATTTATTATATTTTTATCCTATCCTCCCTTGCTACCTTATTTCCCTATCCTTGCCTATCCTTCTCCTTTTCCTTCTCCTTATTCTGTCCTGCCTCTCTACCTCCCCTCACCCCCCCCCCCTTCACTAGCCATCTCTTGCCCCTTCCTCTTCCCCCTCTACCCCCCCCCCTTCCCTAAATACCCTTCTCTTCCCCTTCCCCCCTCCCCCTTCCCCCTACCTTCTTCCTATCCTTCCCCCTCCCCCCTCCCCCTCCCCCCCTGCCCCGCTCTCAACCTCCCTCCCTTTTTTCCCCTTCTCCCTCCCCCCCCGCCCCCCCTACTCCCCTCATTCTCCTGATATATTCAAATTGAAACATCTATTCATCGAAAGCCTTAAGATGGAAGACCAAGAAGAACAAAGACAGGAAGAGGAAAAGAAGAAGGAGAAGAAGAAGAAAAAAAGTGACGATATGAAAATGAAAAGAAGAGATAAAAAAGAAAGAAAATAAAAGGAGAAAGAAAATGAAAAAAAAGGAAGAGAGAAAAAGAAGATGAAAAAAAAGTGAAAAACAATAAACAAAACAAAACGAAAACGAAAAAAAAGAAACAGAGCAAAAACAGAAAACAAACAAACCAAAACAATGAAAACAAAAAAAAGAAAATGAAAAATAAAAATACACACAAAGAGACCACCTAACCAACCCAACAGGCGAGAGAAGCGACGAAGCAAGCACAGAGCACAAGCAACAGGAAGTTCATTTGCGAAATCATTAAACCGATTGCTCAAGGATCGGATATCTTGAGACTCACCGAGGCTAAATTTATTCCCGGGGCGGTGAGGGAGACGGAGAGACGGAGAGATGGAGAGATAAGAAGAGGTAAAGAGAGATAGAGAGGGGGATGGATGGATGGAGGGAGGGAGGCAAGGAGGGAAGAAGGGAAGGAGGAAGGGAGAGAGAGAGGGAGGGAGAGAAAGAGAGAGAGAGAGAGAGAGAGAGAGAGAGAGAGAGACATCACCAGATCGAGAGAGTGAAAGGAAAAAAAAAACTGAGCCTACCGCACAGGTGGCGAGGCGCACCTTCCCTCGCCAGATGGTATTATTTCTGTGATTTCAAAACCTTCCTTTGGCGCCCCGCCGTTTCTGTATCCCAGGCGAGGACTCCGAAAGAGAGGAGAAGGTGGAGAGAAAGAAAGAGGTGGAGAGAGAGAGAGAACGAGGAGAGAGAGGGAGAGGAGAAAGGAGAGAGGGAAGGGGAAGGGGTGGGGAGGAAGGGAGAAAAGAAGGGAGGGAGGGAGAGAGAGGGAGAGGGAAGGAGATAGAGGAAGAAAGACAGAGAGAGAGTGAGAGAGTGAGAGAGAGAAAGAGAGGAAAGAGAGAGAGAGAGAGAGAGAGAGAGAGAGTGAGTGAGTGAGTGAGTGAGTGAGTGAGTGAGAGAGAGAGAGAGAGAGAGAGAGAGAGAGAGAGAGAGAGAGGGAGAGAGAGAGATACAAAGAAAGACAGAGAAAGAGAAACGGGAGGAGAAAGAGAAAGAGAAAGAGAGAGAGAGAAAGAGCGAGCGACAAACGCGCCACAAATACCCACACATACGGCCTGATCTCAATACCAAATTCCCTCTTTGCTGAAGCCACAGTCATTAAGTAATTTTCAGTGGACCTCCCTTGCCCCCTCCTTCCCCTCCCCTCCCCCTACAACCCCCAGCCCCCCCGCCCCCCCTATACCCATACCTTCCCCCCCCCTACCCAACTCCATAGAGAAGCTATTCAAATTGCCATAACTCCAAGTGAAAAGCCACTTATGTCTAGAAAAGCCACTTATGTCTATAGAGAGACAGTAAATATACCGACTGCCTAACATAACGCCCTGTTTGGTTACACATGGTTAAAGGGGGAGAGGGGGAAGGGAGGTTGGAGAGGGAGGGTGAGAGAAAGGAGAGGAAGGAAGAAGGGAGGGGAAGGAAGGAAGGAGAGGAAGGAAGAAGGAGAGGAAGGAAGGAGGGAGAGGAAGGAAGGAGAGAGAGGAAGGAAGAATGGAGAGGAAAGAAGGATGGAATGAGAGGGAGAGATGCGGGAAAGAGAGAAGGTGAGAGGAGGGAAGGAAGGAGGGGGAGGAAGGAAGGAGGGAGAGAGAGGGAGAGAAGAGGGAGGGAGAAAAGGTGAGAGTAGGGGGAGGAAAGAGGGAAAGGGGAAGAGAGGGAGTGAGAAGAGGGAGAGGAAGGAAGGAGGGTGAAAGAAGGGAGAGAGAGAAGGGAAGGATATGGAGAGAGAAAGGGAGAGACGAGGAAGGGAAAAAGTAAGAGGAAAGAGAAAGAAAAAGGGAGATAGATGAGGAGAGGAAGGACAGAGAAGAGAAAGAAAGGGGGAGAGGAGAGAGACAGAAGAGAAACAAAGGTGATAGGGGAGAGAGAGAGAAGGGAGGGAAAGGAGAGAGAGAGAGAGAAGACCCTTATGGTTACAATATTTGGCTGGCTAATACGGCGTTGGGGGTAAGGAGGGGGAGGGAGGGGGAGGGGAATGGAGGGTAAGGGAGGGAGGATGGAGGGGGAGGGCGGAACGGTAGAGAGAAAGCAGGGTGAGAGGAGAGAGAGGAGAGAGGTGATAAGACAAGGGAGAGGAAGAAAGGAAAGAGAGAGAGAGAGAGAGAGAGAGAGAGAGAGAGAGAGAGAGAGAGAGAGAGAGAGAGAGAGAGAGAGAGAGAGAGAGAGAGAGAGAGAGGAAGAAGAAGAAGAAGAAGAAGAGAGAGAAGAACAGAGACGAAGAATATGAGAGAAAGGAAAGGATCAGAAAGGGAACGGGAGGGAAAAGGAGAAGAGGTAAATAAAAGAGGGAGAGGGAAAGATGATAAACGAGAGAAGGAAAGGGAGAAAAAAGAAAGGGGAGACAAGTAAAAATGATATAAAAGTCGGGAATAAAGGCAGATGTATACCAATGTTTTCTCTCTTTTGTATTTTTGTGTTTTTGAAGACTTTTTATTCATCCAATACGTTAAGATTATGAATATCGATAAGGATACATGCCATTAATGAAATACAGTTTTTATTTAATCCTTGTCTTCCTTTGATTTTATCTATTTTCTCGTTTTTGAAATCGTGAATCTGTTTAATTCTGTTTTCTGTTGAGGAGCGAGAGAGCGCGCTGGTGTCTCGAGCTTGATTTAAGCAAGAAACGGAGACTTGAAATGTGTTCGTAACTCAATGATTCAGGAATAAATGGCCATGTTTTATTCATTCATTTTTTGAGGGGATCACTTCCCCGGAATCTAGACTTGCATACGCATAATGCTTTCGGTTGTATAACTTGTCATAACAAATTTGTAAAGAGAAAGCGATCACCTATGCATCCTCCTGTGCCACAATGCCAATTGGCCCCTCCCCCCTCCTCCCCCCCTCCCCCTTTTCCATATTTACCCTCCCCTCGCTAGTTAGACAAGCTCTCACTTACTCAATTAAGGCCGATGAGGTGATGTTGATTTCCATTTCATTACCGCCACTACTTCCCCGACGCTGCGCGCAGAAAGGGCCCGCCCTGGCCGCGGCCGCCCTCCGTCGCCGCCGCCCGCCCCGGCCGCCTTCCCCCCCGCGCGTCCCGCCGACAAGCACCCGAACTGTAAATCTTGCCATAAAGCTAATGGCCCGCGCCGAGTGCTTACTAATCTTCACGCTGACTGGTCGCCGGCGCGTTCGAGGCCCCGCCCGCTATTAGTGTCGCGCGGCGCGATTGGGCGAGGCGGCGGCGGGGGGCGGAGTCGGCGGGAGGGGCTTCCCGGCGCGGGCCTCGCGGGGCAGTCGTGTGGCAGTGTCGGCCGTAAGTTACCAGCGAGCGGCGGAATTGATAACTTGTGTAAACAGTCGCATCCGCCGCTGCTCCGTTCGGGCCATTTGCATGCGGACGTTGATATTCGGGAAATGCTAAGTGCCACTTGCGTCTCCGTCGGAGTCGCCGCAGCAGTCCTCCGGCGCGAGTGAGTCCCCGGCCAGGAAATGGCGAGCTGGTGACGAGCGCGCGTCCGGCCGCACTCGGCGCCGTGATCGATTGGCGCCGCTGATCCGTAATTGCCGGAGATTCGCGCCCGCGCCCCCGCACCTCCGTCGCTCTCTCCCGCCGCCATGTCGGGCGTGGTCGCCACCGAGACCGTCCGGCCCAGCCACAACTCCGCCTTCAGCGCCGTCGTCAGGAAGCGCTTCTCCTTCTCGGTGGACTCCATCCTCGCCAGCTCGCCGCCGAAGGACGCGCCGAAGGACACCGCCGCCGACGGCCTCCCCCCCCCGCAGACGCCGCCGGAGGAGCCGCTCTCGCCCGCCGAGGACAGACTCTCCGCCAAGCCCCTGGAGGACGACGACGACCACGAGGGCGACGACGGAGACATCACCGTCGACTCGGAGCCCGACGACGCCCCCGGCCGCAGCGACGCCCGCCTGGCCCCGCTCCTCGAGGACGCCGCCCACAAGACGCCGCCGCCCCTGGCCAGCCTCCTGGTCCACACGGGCGCGGTGGGGCCGCCCTTGCCTCCGCCCTCCACCTCCGCCGCCTCCATCACCCCGGCCAGCCTGCCCGGCGCTTGGCCTCCGAACCTCCTCCTCCACCACCAGCTGGCCCTCCGCGCCCTCACCAGTAAGTAGCAGGCGCCCCCGAGGGGGAGATCGCCGCCGCGGGTCGCTGGGCCTCGACCGGGGGGCTCGGTCGAGGCCGCA